GGGGGGGGGGGAAGCAGACACATGCGTGTGCAGTTGTTAGAGGAAGCACACAGGCAAAGGCAAGGGGAAGAGCATGGCAGGGGTCGGGGGTGGCATCGGAGGAGGAGGAGGAGGAGGAGGAGGAGGAAGCCCCCTGGGGCATGCACGCACCCGCATGGTCATGCTGGCTGACAGATTGACCCCCGGGGTGGAGGCCACAAAGGAGTCGCGAGCGATGTAGTACTCATTGTGAGCACCATTGCTGGCCGGCTCGGTAGAAAGCTTCAGGATGGCCAGATCACCGGCGAACTTCGGCGCCAGGACCACATCACCACTCTCGGTGGCATCGGAAACCTCAATGTCATCGTCATCATCGGCAATGAGGGATCCGCGCTCCACCGGCGAGGCGGACTTGCCCACGGAGTAGTGCTGCATCAGGAAGTCGCCGCCACTGAGGGCGCGCACGCTGGCTGCCACGGGCGAGCCCTGGAAGGTGATGCGGGTGTGGACCTACGTGCAGAACAAGCCCCGTGGGAGGGGGGAACAAGGGGGAGGGGGATTGGGAGCAAAGTAACAGTGAGTGAGTGTCCATCGGCCGGGAAGGGGAGGGAGACACGGACGGGGGAGCAGAAGAAGGCAAGCAGGCGACGGGAGGGGGGAAGAGTGTGCGTGGCAATGGCAGGGGAGGGAAGCGCGAGCGGCAAAGAAGGAGATCGGGGGATGGGGATGGGGGGGGGGGAGGCGAATGCCCAAATACATGCACGCACATTTGGCGAGAAGCAGATGGCGCAGTTCGTCAGCGAAACGATATGCGACCCACGGGGGATGTGCGCATGCAGCACGGCGCCTGAAGGGCGATCGAGGACCGGGGGAAGACGACAGGCGGGTGAGCCAAGGCAGCAAAGGACAGCAGGCAGACACAGTGGAGGGGTTGGCGCACCGGAACCCGGGTTGACAATCTGGAATTGGGGCTCAGGCACGGTGGCACGCTTCATCCAGCCGGACGTGCGAGACATGCCTAACAGGGCGGGAGGGTCAGCGGGCAATCGAACGCCAACGGCCAGGCGCAAAGAAGCCGGACAGCCGGCAACGCACCAGCCGACACGATTTCACTGGCCTTGGCCGTGGCCGAGGAGGCAAGAGACTGGCGCCCGGCGCCGGCGGCCGCGACCGGCGGCGGGCTGCCGGAGGTCGGGGGGGAAGACATGCAACGCAGGGCCACCTGCGCGCCGGCACTCGGGCGAAGGGATCCGAGCAGAGCCGAGTTGCGTAGGCCGAGGCCGACAGAACGAGTGCCAAGGAGCGACATAGCAGCAGGGGAGATGGGGCGGGGGGATATCTGGAAGGTGGGCTGCAAAAGGGGCGGGGGAGGGGGGGAGACAGACAGAGAGAGAGAGAGAGAGAGAGAGAGAGAGGAGGGCGAACAGGAAGGCGATGCGAGGGGGAAGGGGGAAGGAGTCTGCCCCGGAACTCGGCGGTGGGGCCGGTGATCGGCCCCAAATGTACCCCCCCCCCACCCCTGGGCTCCGGGAGGAGCGACAGACCCGGACAGGCGTGTGAAAAGGACACACAAAACTAGGCCCACGCACCCTGGCCACCGCAGGGCATACCACACATCGGCGAAGGATGGTGTCGATCAACCACATGGGGGCAGGGGGGGGGGGGGGCGGGCGGCCCGGGAAAGCGGGGCAAGAAGATTCCATCCCTCCTCCACTCTCCCCGGCCCCCCTTTGGGGGACAAGTGCCCGAGGGCAGTGACAATGCACGGGTATGTGGGCACCCCCCAAAAGGAGGGCTGCGGAAGCAACGTGCCCCGGGGAAGGGAGGCCGCACAATCACCCGGCCATCAGAAGGGGGGCTCTTTTGCGGTCTGGGCAGCGCATCTGTTTTTTCGCCCCTCCTTCTTCGCCCCCCGGCCCCGGCCCCGCCCGCACCCCGGCGCCCCGAGCCCACCACTCCTGCCTAGACCCCAACTAGGGCATCATCATGTGGCTTGTTTATATTAATCGACGTGTGCGCTCTTAATTGGCTCCGGCGACCGCGCCTGCCCCGGCCGGGACCAACCCCCGGAGTAGGCGGACCAACTGGGCCACGAAGGTACGGTGGCCGAAGGCAGCCGCAACATGCTCGGCCCCGGCACACCCGAGCATCAAACGCAACCCGAGCCCGACTTGGTGGAAGTCCCCCTTTCCAAGGGCATCGACCAGGTCCCGAGAAAGAGTCGCCTCGGTGCCAGGATCGACAAGGTACACGAGCCCCAATTCGGGGACCTCGGTCGCCCAGAGGATCGAGTAGATGGCCAGTCCGAAGGCCAGTGTGTCAAAGGCTGCCGCCTCCCAGTCCAAGGCCGGGTGTAGGAGGTCTCGGGCCGGCGACTGGTGGCTGTCATCGACCAGCAGCTCGGCCGCACGCCGGAGGGCCATGTCCAGGGTGGCTGGCAGCCGGTGAGCAAGCTCCACCTCGTCGGTGAGGGCCCGGGGGAGGGGTCGCATCGCCTCCGGCGCAAGGTGGCTCTGGCACCAGGCGGCGGGCAGGGATTCCGCCTTGGGAGGGGCCCATTCGCCGGCGGCGCTTGTGCCACGGTGCATGAGGCGTCGGAGGATACTCTGTGTTGGAACCAGAAGTCCAGCCGAACCATGGGGCACCGACTCCAGTGGGCCGCCATTGGCACGTGCCAGCACGGGCAGCCCGCGCGCCATGGCCTCCAGGGGAACAATACCGAAGTGCTACCCGAGCAGGGGGGGTGGGGAGACGGAGAGAGAGAGAGAGAGAGAGAGAGAGAGAGAGATGAGGAGCGAGGAGGAAGTGGGACTGCGTGTGAGCGCGAGACGAAGAGAAAGGGAGAGATGGGAGAGAGAGAGAGAGAGAGAGAGAGAGAGAGAACGATCAAGCTGAAAGGGGGCCGCCAGCGACGCACTTCGAACGCAGGGGTGTAGATGAGGGCCGAGGCCCGAGCCATCAAGTCCTCGCGGAGAGACTGATCGAAGTTGGTGACGAAGAGGACATCCACGCGGGCCAAATGCGGCCCGAGAGCCAGCGCTCGAGGCGAGCCGTGAACACAGTATGCCTCCACCGCCGCGTCGGTCGACCCAGCTGCCAAGAGGTCCTCGTGTTGCTGCTCCTGCTGCTGCTCCTGCTCCTGCTCCTGCTCCTGCTGTTGGCGATGGTGGCGGTGATGGTGATAGACAGACACGCGGAAGCCCAGGGGCCCGGTGGCGAAGGCAGCCAGCTCGCGCAAGTGCTGCACATTCTCACTGACCCGGGAGTCGTAACCCCCAGCCAGGATGAGGACCGGGCGTCGAGGATCGGCGCCGGCCCGATCGGCGTCCAGCCGGCCGGCCACCTTGTGATAGCCGGCCAATGCCCGCAGAGCCAGGGCCAGGTCCTTCTTGCGTTCGAAGCGATTGATCGACAGGATGATGGGTCGTGATTGGCTGGCTTTGACTGATAGGTCGGCCGCCGCCCTGGGCGGGAGGATGGTCTCCGGCGGCAGCAGGGCGGCCAGCTGCCGCGATAATGGGCTGCCGGTGGCCGAACCGCAATCCGACGCGCCAACCAGATCCCGAGTCGGGGGGTACAGTACATGCGGCCAGTCGGTGTCCCCGGGAGTCGCCGCCGACGACCGGGGGAAGCTCAGCCTGAAGACCGTTTGTGTGAAGCGGCTGTTGACTGCCACATCCGAGCAGAGCCCCGTGGCCAGGGTCTCCCATGCATCGAAGAAGCCGCGGTATGCGCCCTTGGCGGCGGCCAGCAGCGCCCGCCGGGGCGATGGCCCAGTGCCCGTTGCCTCGTCAGCCGGACGCGCCAGCCAGAAGTCCGGGAAGTGGCAGTAATAGAAGACCGGCACTCGACCGAGGAAGCGAATGACCGGTGCCCAGGCGACCAACTGGTCAATCACCACAACATCGAAGGGCGTGTCGTTGCCCAGCCGGGCGGCCCAAATGTCCCGCAATAGCGCCAAGGCCAGGATCAACCCGCGCACGATGGCGCACAGAAGGTGCCCAGCCCCGGGGCCGGCGCGCGGGCCCCGAGATCCCGGCAGCCGGAAGGACCGCGGGAAGGCGGATCCGTGGGTCCGGACATCGAAGGACCCGTCGAGGGTTTCCTCAAAGCACCGTTGCCGATCGTAGTGGCTGGTGTAGATGGTCACCCGGTGCCGGGCGCCGGTCGCGTCGTGTCCATTGGCCAGGCCGTGGGCCGCGTCGACAATGAGGCGCTCCGCACCGCCTGGCGGGGGTCAGTGATTATACGGTCTCGGGGCGGGCAAGTGAAAATGTATCCAGGAACAAGCCGGGCAAGTGGATGGGGGGGAGGCCTACCAAGACCGAGGTCCGGATGGACGAAGGCCACACGCAGCGGCCGCTCGCCAGGAGGCGCCATCGTGTGCTACAGGGCCGATGAGGAATCGGCCAGGACAGGGAGGGGTGGAGCAGAAGAGAGGGCGGAGAGCAGTAGAGAGGGGGGAAGAGAGAGAGAGAAAGAGAAAGAGGGAAAGACAGGCGAGGTGCGCAGCATGTCCTGGTGGGCGCATCATCCCAGTGCCTGCATGTTACAGCTCCTCGTCAACCATATAGGGCGATGCAAGACAGCCAGACATCCTCTTCAGAAAATCAGACACAGAACCCGATCATGATCGAGGGTTGGCCCATGTCTCCCAGACCAAGAAGTAGCTTGGGGAGGGGGGAGAGAGAGAGAGAGAGAGAGAGAGAGAGACCGAACAGGGGAAGGAAAAGGCCAGGAGACAGGACGGCCTCCGCCTGGAGAAGATGTCCTAAGGAGGTGCCAACGAAGATTGTCGCGTGACCAGACCATGAGGATGACCCCCCGCGCTTGCTCGCTGGCCGCGCTGCCGCGTTTCCCTGCCCCGTCGCCCGTGGGCCAGATCTGCGCCCATCAGACATTGGAACGGATCTCCGGGGGGGGGGGGGAGGGGGGGACACAGGGGAAATGCTCTTGGGCCTGTGCCCCGCCGGCCCCAGTCGGGCAACGGCGCAAGCCTCATCCAGCCTCCACATCAGCCTCCCCCATCCTACCTTGCTTGGCTTCCTCCCCCCCCCCCCTCCTCCTCCCTTCCCCTACCCGCTCCTTCTCCTCCCTCTCCTCCTCTCCCCATCAATTGCCATGACGACCAACTCCGGTCGGAAGGTCATGAAGACCATCCGCCGCCCCTACCGGGAGCGGCCTCAGCTGCCGGGCCGTCGGAAGCTCGGTATGCTGGAGAAGAAGCGTGATTACACGGTCCGCGCTCGGGACCACCAGCAAAAGCGCGACCGCCTGAAGAAGCTGGAGCAGGCGGCCCGACTGAAGAATGTCGACGAGTTCACCTACGGCATGATCAATGCCCAGATGAAGGTGCGCGTCTGGCCGGCGACAAAGCCCATCCATGGGGCGCAACATTGCTGGAGCTGTTCAGCTGACACACACACACACACACACACACACACACCCAACTTCTCCTCCACCTTGCCCCCGGTCGTCCGGCCTTGTGTCGTGCATGGCGATGCTGTCTCTTCGGCGCGGGGCATCGGGATGGCCTTCGCACTTGTAGGGCGGTGTGCACAAGTTTGCCGAGCGTGATGAAAACCTCACCGAGGAAGAGAAGAAGCTGATCGGCACTCAGGACGCCACTTACATGCAGCTTCGCGTGTCCCAAGAGCAGAAGGTACGTGCTCTGGCACGCGTCCACAATCCATGCAGCACTATAGCCCCCTCCCCCCCCCCCCCCCCCCCCTCCATGAGGAGTACCATTTGAGGGTGCTCTCCTTTCTCACCTCCCTTCCCTGCTCCACTCCGCCTGTTCACTACAGAAAATTGAGCGCCTCCGCGAGAACCTCCACTTCGTGGATGTGGTGACCAAGAAGCGCGCCGAGGACTCTGGCAAGGCTGTCTTCCTGTCCAAGGAGGAGGCCCGCCAGCTGGCCGCCGCGTCGAAGCTCGGCGACACCGAGCTGAAGAAGACCCTGAAGGCCATGGTCAGCGCCACCGGCGCTGCCGACTCGTCTGACACCTCCGACGTCGAGGATGTTGTCCTCTCGGACGATGAGCAGGAAACCCTCCCGACCTCCATCACCAATCTGGGTGACCTCAAGGTGCGCTGCCGGGCGTCTGCCCCTCTTCCCCGCCATGCATACACGCGCCATTGCCTCATTGTCTGTCTCACACGGAGACATTTCTCCCCCTCGAAAGAGCATTGTCCGTGCACGGGATCGTGCATACGCCGAGCTTCAGGCGCGTGTGAACCGTGTCGAGAAGATCAAGAGCATCAAGAATGAGGTTGATACGCGGCGCGGGCTGCAGGCCGCGCAGTCTCGCCTCCGTGGCCATGCCGGCGGCGGCATCAAGAAGATCGGCACCGATGCCCGGGGCAACAAGGTCTACAAGCTGGCCAAGGAGCGCCTGCGGTGATTTCCTCCCCCGCAGAATGTGCTTCTTCTCTCCTTCGCTTTCTCCTTGCGGCGAGCCGGCATGAATGTGCTCGCACCCCTACCAGCTTCCGGGTGAGGGGAACGTGGGCGGATGAAAAGAAACACCAACAACAGCCCTGTCGCGCATGTGGTGGCAGGGACCTGCCTCAAATAGATCCCAAAATGTGTGTGTGGCGTGTGTGTGCGTGCGTGTGTGAAGCCCAACTTGGAGCCTGGGGATCGCATGTGCAGAACATCGCACAGCCACTGGCTGTCAAGAAAAAAGATGGCCCAATGCCCCACTCCATCTCTGTCTTTTATCTTCCTTCCATTTCCTGCCTTTTGCCTCCTGTGAGAGTGAGGGGAGGTTCCTTCCGGAGCGTATCTATTGATCTTGAAGGAAGAACAAGCGATGGGAAAAGTACGGGGAGAGGGGGGGGAGGAGGGCAATGCACAGGAAATCCATCATACAAGATGCGATACACCCACACCCACACACCCGCACACACCCACCAAGTCTGTTGGCTACCGGCGAATGCCGGCGAATGCCCCGTCGCCCGCATGACCGAGGAGGGACCGGCGATCGCTCAGAGGAGGCGCTCCAGGACGGCCGCATCGTCCGGGGTAACACGACCCTTGTAGTAGCCAGACACGACGAGGCCTGCCTCGCCGGGGAAGGGCGCCGCACCCTCAGGAAGGGGCGCCGGGGTGAACCCCTGTGCGGCATAGAAGGCCCGGGCCCCGCTGTTGGAAGTCTGCACATGAAGGAAGACACGCGCCGAGGTGAAGGGGGAGTCATCGGAGGCGGCCTCGCGCGACAGGTGGCCCCGCGTCCAGGCAATCAGACTGGACACCAGCTCCGAGGCAACCCCGGAACGACGATAGGCCGGCAGCACGCAAAGGGTCAGGATCTCCACGGCGAAGGTGCTGGACCCGGCCGGGGTGACATCGCGACCGAAGATGCACCCGACAGCGGCATCATTATAGTAAGCTGGGAGTGGTTGTTGGGGGGAGAAGATGGGGGAATCCAGCATGTACGTGGGCAAATGTGTGCTTTGGTCAGAGAGAG